TAGATTGAACCAAATTTGGAAAAATGGTCCTCACCCCTGATTGACATTGATAATCTCAACCTATCTATATTTTGAACCTTTGTGGTCATTGATGACAAAGGGAAAGAAATACTGTACAAAGATAGTGAAAACACAACAAAGACAACAAAGGGGGAAAGAAACAAAGATATAAATGATAGGGGGAGAATTTGACATAGGAGGAGAGATATGACAAAGGAAGGGGATCAATTAAAATTTTAAGCACACAAGTAGGGAGAGCAAGCTCATGAACTTGTATGGTGCATTTGAATGTGCATTTCATATATTTGCTTGCATGGCACAAGTTTTAAATTTCAATATCCATGCTTGTGTGGTGTATGCTAGTTGTAGGTTTGAATGATGAAATGAAAAACTAGCATGCATAGGTTAAGAAACTAGACTTATGTTCATTTTATGGAAACTAGACCCTTGCTTCTAATGTTGATCTTATGGGGTATTCTAGTTTTTGTGTATGTCTAGCTACTAATGGTGCTAAGGATGGTATATTAGTGCACTCGATTGGTATCACGCTTCAAAGGTCTATCTTTTATACCTTAGCATCATTTGGTAGACATTGTCTCCTATATTTCCTATCTAAGCATATGTGCAAGCTACAATCCAAACTCTTAGCACATATATAGGGGGAGCAATTGCTATCATATGGGGTCCATGAAACTTGTCCATATCCTTTTACACATGGTAAATATGCTTGGGCAAGTAACATGGATTCAAATGAATTTCAATTCATATCTTTGTGAAATGGTTGTCATCAATTACCAAAAAGGGAGAGATTGAAAGCTCTAGATTGGTTTTGGTAAATTGATGAAACCGTAAGTGCTAACCTAGTTTATCAAAGTGATTATGAGATAGGTAGCACTATTCCAAGTGATGAAGCAACAGTGAAGATCATGATGATGGTGATGCCATGGTAATGATTAAGTGCTAGGACTTGGAAAAGAAGAAAGAGAAAAACAAAAATCTCAAGGCAAAGGTGAAATTGATAGGAGCTTTTCGGTTTAGTGATCGAGACACTTAGCGAGTGTGATCACATTTAGGATCGATAGTCGTACTATTAAGAGGGGTAAAACTCGGATCGAAATGTAGTTATAAAAGTGCCACTAGATGCTCTAACTCATTGTATATGCATTTAGGATCTAGTGGAGTTCTAACACCCTTGAAAATATTTGTGAAAATATGCTAACACACATGCACAAAGTGTTACACTTGGTGGTTGGCACATTTGATCAAGAGTGGTGAAGTTTGGGGTCAAAAGGAGCTATTTTGTATTGACCGGACTCTGCATTGGCCAGTGACCGGACTCTGACCCTGCGTCCGGTTAGTGGTGCGCTATGAAGGCTGCCCTCAATCCTTTGACCAGATGCTGAGAAGAAATAGGACCGGACACGCTGGGGGTGCGTCCGGTCAAGCTATGACGTACGCTGACGCAAGCATTAGAACAAGCTAGTAAGGACCAGACCCTGAGCAGCGTCCGGTCACATGTGATCGGACATGTCCGGTCATGATTTTGCCTCTCTAGAACCTTACTGGAAATGACCAGACTCTAGTGATGGAGCGTCCGGTCACTTTAAGCAGTGCGTCCGGTCGCAACTTAACACATGGTGCGAAGCAGATTAGCCGTTAAGATTGAGCGCTCAGCATTTGAGGCTGATGACACATGGCGAGCGTCGGCCACCAGACGCTGGGGTCCTGCGTCCTGTCAACCTGACCGGCGCGTCCTGTCAGCCCGTGTTTCACTGGACAGAGGAGCCAACGGCTCTATTCATGGGGGCTCTCTATTTAAGCCCCATGGCCGGCTCAAGCTCACTCTCTTGGCCATTTGCATTGACATAGCAACCTTGTGAGCTTAGCCAAAGCCCTCTCACTCATCTCCATCATTGATTCAACATCTTTGTGAGATTGGAAGAGAATCCAAGTGCATTGCTTGAGTGTTTGCATCTAGAGGCACTTGGTATTCATGTTTCGCTGCGGGTTTGGCTTGTTACTCTTGGTGGTTGCCACCACCTAGATGGCTTGGAGCAGCGAGGATCGTCGAGCGAAGGTTGGTGATTGTCTCTGGCTCCGATCGTGGTGATTGTGAGGGGTTCTTGACCTTTCCCTCGGTGGAGAGCCAAAAGGTACTCTAGTGGATTGCTCGTGGCCTCATCTTGTGTTGGTTGTGCGGCACCCTATTGAGGGTTTGGCGTGTGATGTCAATTAGTGCGTGGACCTCCAAGTGAGTGAATCGCCACAACGAGAACTAGCTTGCCGGCAAGCAAGTGAACCTCGGTAAAAAATCATTGTGTCATCATTTAATTCCGAAGTGATTGGTATTCATTCTTGTGATTGATTGGTTCATTCCTCGACTCGGCAGTATAACCATCTTGCTCTCTCTCTTTACATTACCGCAAACTAGTTGTCAAGCTCTTTAGTGTAGCTAGTCGTGAGAGCTTGTGAGTTTGGTTAGTGTGGCTCTTTAGTTAGCCTTTGAGAGCACACTAACTTAGTGTAGTGACATAGCCATTGTATGGATAGAGACTATAGAAACTAGAATTGTGGTAGGTGGCTTGTATTTTTAGTAGGCTAGCGCAACACTCGCTTCGCCTCATATTTGTCTAACCGGCTTGCTAAGTGTTGTTGTAGAAATTTTTAATAGGCTATTCATCCCCCCTCTAGCCATTAGGACCTTTCAGGGGCCCCTACATCCCTCTCAACCTCGTCGTCGAGGTCGTTCGTTGGGGTAGCCCCTTCCTCATGGATGCTTTCGATGTGTCCCTCGGGGGTACCTGCCATGAAACACTTACGAGAGGGGTGATGGCTCCCCCTGCTGGAGTCAGATGTGGAGGGCGACTCCGTTTCTCTCATGAGGAGGTCGTGAAAAGATTCCGCGATATATTCAGCCATCCCCATGAACTCGTCGTTCGTGGGAGATGGAGGCATGCGTTGTGCCACAAGGCGGCCAACAGTCTCTGTGGCGTTGTGGAGACCAAACGAGAGCGCTGTCGGGGCGCTCCGGATGAGGTATTCCGGAGAGAGCGGCTTTCCTCTGGCAAGCTGCGCCATGACATTAGTGAACGAGAAGGTGAGGTGGCGCAGGTCCTCCCGGGATGGTCGGGGTCCCAGGAAGGCGCCGAGCTAGCGCTCTAACCTCCCGTAGTCGAAGTCGAGGAGCTGGTCGCTCCCGGGGGTGCGGGCCTCCAGTGCGTGCAGCTGCAGCTCCTCAAGCGCCTCGATGATCGCGTCTGGCTCGGATGGTGTGCTTAGAAGACACGAGGTTTATACTGGTTCAGGTAGAATGTCCCTACGTCCAGTTCATCGCTGTTGTTCGTGTTACTAGCACCGAAAGTTTGTAGTAGGGGTTACAAACGGGCGAGAGAGGGACATGTCCCAAGTCTTTGGTGGAAAGAGTGAACGGGTGCCAAGAGCTCGGTTGCTGCTCAGCCGTGCGCTTGGGTTGTGTTCTGGTCAGTTCGAGGTTCGATGAGTTCGTGATGGTTCGATCGGGTCTGGCTTCAATTGATCGATCCTAGTCCTTTCCATGGGACACCGTACTTTCTCTTTTATAGACCAAGGGAAAGCACGGGTAACAGCGGAGGAAAAGAGAAGAAACGAGAGGGAGAGGACGGCCTTCAGGATTATCGGGTCCTTCTTATCCTTCATGCGGATCCCACCGACCCTGTAGATGTCAACAGGGACAGCTCCACGTCGTGGCCCCGTTCGCCACTGGCGCCACGCGCAGGCGTCGTCTGCTGGTCATGGCGTTCCATTCCGTTGGAGCAGACGTCGTGGTGAGCTGACACGCCTGCCAGTGTTCGTACGAGGGTTAGGCAGAACAACACCGGTACGCCCGACGCTGTTCTTGATGTGAACCCTCCAGTATAGCCCCATATGGCCACGAGTTACATCGGGGCATGCCGGTCTCTTCCCTGTTGTCAGAGCTTTGACCCAGGCCCATACGCTTGGATCTGGAGTGGTTGGCGGCGGCATGGGTCTCCGTCGGGCGAGGCGGAGCGCAAACCCAAGGGTCGGGCGAGGCGGAGCCCTCCCCCAGAGGTCGGGCGAGGCGGAGCGCAAACCCAGGGGTCGGGTGAGGCGGAGCATAAACCCAAGGGTCGGGCGAGGCAGAGTCCTTTCCTAGAGGCTCCCCAGAGGTCGGTCGAGGCGAAGCCCGCGCGCCTGGGGGTCGGTTGGAGCCGTAGTCGCGCTCTTGACTGCTCGGATGAATCAATATTGATGGTCATTAGTTCCTCTTCGGGGACCCTAATATTAGTCCCCGATACTATGCCTAATACAAGCAAAGCCCAATACAAATAACCAATTAGATCCTAAAGAATGTAAAGAGCCTCGGACCCCGCCCCTTAGGATGATCTTGAGTCAATAAGGCTTGGAAGGACCTATTTTGGAGAACTTCGCCACTTAAAACACAGATCTAGAGCATAGCTCCACCATGGTGTCGGATCCCACCGTAGAGATGAGAAACTTGTCTGGCTTGCAACTGACCTCTAGATTTAGGAAATGCTGGTTTTGGTAGAAGTGACTCTCGTTTCCGGTATCTTGCATAGATTTTGATAAAACTACACACAGACCCCTTAACCTTGATGGATGATACCAAAATCACATGGTTAACAAATATGACAAATCACATGGTTAACAAATATGACAAATTCATCTTCAGATATGGTCTCACAAAACATTGCCTTGTCTAGATCATACGCAAGGTATTTAAACTCCATGCCCATGCAATTTAATTCAAAAACTCATAGCATAACTAACGTGTGGCAACCATGCTAACAAAAACCTGATGAATTCAAAACATGTTTAGTGTTGTACTAAAGCCTCCAAAACTTCTAAAAAAATCAGTTGTTATTATATGATTTCTTTTGAAATTTGGAACTTTGGACAGTGAACGAGGGAGCACTGGTTAGTGGTTACTCTGGTTAGCAAGGCCGTCGAATTGTCCCGCGCGCGCAGGCGTTCCAACGAGGATGCCGCCGCCACCGCCCTTCCCATCCCCTCTGCCGTTGGCGCCTCCGCCCCCACGTCCGGCGTGGAACACAAACCGCAACCTTGTGGTGACCCACCCTCTGCTATCCCTCCTCGAGTCATGCGCCTCCTTCCGCCGCCTCCTCCAGCTCCAGGCGCTGCTCACCGTCTCCGGCCTCGCCGCGCACCGCTTCCCGTCCTCCCGCCTTCTTGCCTTCTGCGCGCTCTCCGACCCGCCGCGCCTCGCCCACGCCGCCGCCGTCCTCGCTCAATGCGCCGAGGGGCCCAACGCCTACATGCTCGCCACCATGATGCGCGGCTTCCTCCGCGCCGGAAAGCCCGCCCACGCGCTCGCCCTCTTCCGCCGTGTGCTCCGCGATCGCCTCCCCGCCGACGCGCGCACCATCGTCTTCGCAGTTAAAGCCGCTCCAATTCCTCCTCCCCCGCCGAGGTCATCCACTGCGTTGCCTTCAAGCGAGGATTCGTTGGCCAGAGCGTGCTCGCGGGGAACGCGCTGGTGCACATGTACACCAGCAGCATGTTATTACCCGACGCGCGGAAGCTGTTCGACGAAATGGCTGACAGGGACGTGGTCTCATGGACAACGCTGGTGGACGGGTACGCGCGTGGTGGCTTGCCCGATGAGGCCTGGCGGGTATTCTGCAGGATGGTGGTTGCTGGGGGTGTGTGGCCGAACGAGGTGACTCTGGTCGCTGCAGCCTCAGCAGCTGGGCAAATTGGGCTGCTGGGGTTGGGGAGGATGGTGCATCAGTGTGTCGTGGAGAGTGGTGTCCGCATGAGCGTTAACTTGGAGAATGCACTCGTCGATATGTTTGGGAAGTGTGGGTGTGTGGCCTCAGCGAAGGAAGTTTTTGATGGGATGGCCATCAAGGATGTGTACTCTTGGACGAGCATGGTCAGTGCCTATGCCAGGTGTGGTGATTTGGAGAATGCAGGGAAGATTTTCAAGGAAATTCCTAATAGGAATGCAGTTTCTTGGAGTTGCATGATCGCAGTTTATTCACAGGCAAATCTGCCAGAGGAAGCCGTGAGGATATTCAATGACATGATTTCAGCAGGTGTGGAGCCGATTGATGCTACACTTGTGAGTGTTCTGTCAGCATGTGCTCAGCTGGGTTGCTTGGATGTTGGTAGATGGTTATATGACACTTACATTGTCAGTCATAAGGTTGAGCTTACTGTGAACCTAAGCAATGCATTCATTGATATGTTTGCAAAATGTGGAGATGTGGGTGCAGCATCAAGGTTATTTAGCAATATGGAGGACAAGAATGCAGTAAGTTGGAACACAATGATCGTGGCCCATGCTTTGCATGGTCAGTCTGAAGAAGCCCTTCATCTATTTCAAGAATTCAAAGGATTCGGTATTTTGCCTGATGAGATCACATATATCGGGGTACTTTCTGCATGCAGTCACAGTGGTTTAGTTTCAGAAGGACGGTGCCATTTCAAAGAGATGAAGATAGTTTATGGGATTGAACCCAGGGCCGAACATTATGCATGCATGATTGACCTTTTGGGTAAAGTTGGGCTTCTTGAAGAGGCGTTTGAAGTTGCAAGGAGTATGCCAGTAGGAGCTGACGAGGCCGGTTGGGGTGCTCTTTTGAACGCTTGCAGAATGCATGGCAATGTAGAGATTGGCGAATGTGCAGCGGATAAGCTAGTAGGGTTGGATCCTTCAGACAGTGGAATCTATGTACTCATGAGCCAAATATATGCAAGTAAAAGCAAATGGGGCCAGGTGAAGATGCTAAGAACGGTGATGAGAGATAGAGGAGTAAAGAAGAATCCTGGATGTAGTTCTATCGAAGTGGATGGAAAATTTCATGAGTTTTTGGTGTCAGATGTTTCACATGTCAACTCAGAAGATATATATGCTGCACTGGAGAATATTTACCTTCACTCAAAGTTAGAAGGTTATATTTCTCATGCTTCATGTGTCTGCTGAAACTTCTTCTCTTGTTCATGCATCTCATAATTAGATTTGACTATAGACACAAAATGATAAGTTTGCGGCATACAGGATTTTATATATTCAAAACTCAGCTTACTGTTGAGGGTGAGCATATTTTCTTTGGCCTTGTACTGTTTTGTATTCGGTTCAAGTAATGTGGCCTAAAAGTCAGATTTGTTCGTACAGTTACAACTTTAAAGAAGGCAGAGTATATGGGCTGATAAAGCTGAGTAGTCTGATGGACAATCACTGTGACTGTGACACAATATCCTGACTTCGGCCAGTTGTGCATGTGGAACATATTATGCACTTTTAATGAGCTCGATTGAACTCTGACTGTTCACTGTTCTTTCTGATCGACTAACTGTGTAAGTCCTTGTGACTTTGTTAAGCTTTTATCTGTAGATTCTTGAATTAATATGTTCATATCATGTAAATTAGTTATGTTACAATTTGCCTGTAGGTGTGAATGGCATGCTGTGGTGCTTCTTAGGTTGAGTTGCAGATGTCCTAATTGTTGCATCAGCAGAAGGCATTTCTATGATTCTGGAGGAATTTGGATGGTTTGGAGGAATTCTAGAGGAATTTGTGAGAGGAAAACACTGTTCCGGATGAAAAAAAAAAAAAAAGCGGATCAAGCCGGGTTCAAGGGCACGCGAACGGGGCCATAGGAATGCCTTCTGCTGATGCATTGCAATCAGTCTTTTTTTATGAGAAAATGATGCACCATATTCACTGAAGTCAGAAAATGATGCTACCATATGTCCATTTTATGAAATTTATCACAATATATGCCATGAAATATCTCCACTAGAAATCTGAAACGCATATTCTGGTTATTAGTGGAGTAGTAAAATAAACGGTATGTTTAAGTCCAGAAAGCACGCCCTGCCACCTTTATGAAACTTGCACCTCTACTGGAGTTGTTTAATATTTTCTATAGTAGGCTGGGACATGAGAAAGCTATATGAAATTACCAGTAAATGATCTCTGATCCTAGTCAAAGATATAATCATTCGAACAATTTTGTTTTTACTCATGCCCATCCAAGACAAGCAGCATGGCAAATCTAGAGTTGTCATAGAATTGCAAAGCAAACTGAAATAATTCTTTGGTGTTGGGGGTAAAAATATAGAAAACAAAGCTTTGTTCTTTGCTTCTAGTTCAACTTAACGTCTCATCTTACGTCAGTACGTGTGCTTTCATGTGTGCTGCAGAATGTAGGCTCATGGTACCGTGCTGACTGATCGGTGCTGACCATGGCTCTAGGCATACATCAGCATCATGCCTTCATCTTCTTTGACCATTAGATGCATTAACAAATAACGATCTTGTAATCCTATTGCATTGCGGTATAGTTAGTTATGGTTGATTAAGTTCATTCCAGTTATAAATGCATAACTACTATGCTGCTCTTTCTCTGTGCTATAGTCCTACTATAGGTTGTACTACCACTTAACTGAAAAACCACCTTATCCAAGTTCATCGTAGATGGGAAACTGAAAAACCACCTAACTTTCGTGGCAGCCGGCAGCCTAATATAGCATAAACGCCGACCTAATTGAATGCCCCCTCTGCAGTGATTCGTTCATACCCAACCAGAACTTTGTGGTGCCACAAGCCACTGTTGCCATAGTAATTCGACTGTCCAGTAGTGCAATTACATGTCACTGTGGTCAGTCAACTCAGCACATGCTCACACTATCTATCTTCTGAAGTGTAACGGACCACCAATCAAGTGAAAATGATGCAGGTTAGGACAAAATCAAGTGAGCAACTTTCTGAAAATTCTCTAGAACTTGTCATGTACAGTAGTAAAGGTCTACATGCACTTAAAATTATAGGGACAAACTCAATCCCGAAGAAGATTAAAACATGCCTATAAAACAATTGTTGAACAGCAATCTGACATGAGATGAAGTACATATCGTACTTGCCCTGTATCCTTCCTCCCTTGCAAAATTGGGTGCTCTGCTAGCCTCATCAGAGGCCAACCTGATTTTTCCGACCTGAGCACTCAGGACAAGAGAGCCAACAAGGGAGCGAAGGCTTTGCCGTGCAACCTGCACGGGCATGCATATTGAGTTGCACGCATTGCCTGGGGAAGCACATGCATTTGGTGTAATCAGGTGGTAGAGATCAGCATGGGAAGGTGTTCCTTCTGCACTCTGCTAGCTGCATGTTGTAGTGAGTGGTGCTCTGTAGTAGCTTTGCAGCTTGCACCTGCATGCATGATGAAACCATGATCCTAGGATCCTCCACCTTTAGTGACCACACGCTGAGCGCCTGAGCCTGAGAGTCGAGTCCCCCCAGCCAGCACCTGTAGCACTCATCAAGCTCTTTCTTACTCCAGTCAGTGCTTAACCCCATGTGTTTTGGGGATAGGAGACATGGGGAAGGGAATAGAATGTACGTACGCGCGTGCTCGGATCAACCACGGATCCAGTAGGTGCGGCATTCATTTCATATCAGGCGCGCCCAGCCCGTTCGTTTGGCTATGGCTTGTCGTAAAAGATCGTAAATTTTTAGTCGGAACAGTATTTTTCTCTCACACAAACCAGCTAGCAATACTTCTTCACGAACCAGTCAACCGAACATGCTGCAACAAATCTACCGCCCCGCCCCAACCACAGTTTCACGTTTCCAGTAGTGATGGCAGTCAAAGGCCTTTATGGTTATGGGCTGGTGGCGCCGAGGGGCGCGACCGCGCGAGGCAGGCACGGCAACCACCAGCCTTCTTCAATGGGCACGAACGAGAGGGGCATGCTGGAAGACGATACATTCACTGTCTGATTGCCACCTCAGTTTCATTGAAGCTTGCTGTTGCAGTGCTGCTGCGCACCGCAAGTACTGACTGCTGGCGCATGTATGTATAAACGTATATGTACCCAATCTCTACCTAGCTACCACACCGGCGATCTGTCGCCATTACTAGTATTAATTAACTGATTGACCGGCTGCTCAATGCATTTATGTAGTTTAATTTGCGGCTGGCTTCATCATTTTATATCTTGTCATGGCACCATGCATGCATGATTTAACATTCATACAGCCATTACCCAGGTAACAGTAATACTAACCCATGCACCACTACTCAACTAGGCCAGTGTAGGGTTTCCTTTCTACAATCTGCTGCCGATGGACATCAAGCCTCCGATGAGCCACCGCCTAATGGAGAAGGCTCAGGGTCTCCAGCGGCTTGACGGCGGCATCAAGCCTCCGATGGGCCACCGCCGCAGGCGGCAGTGGCACAGCAGGTGCCAGCGGCTGCACGAACTTGCAGTTGGGGCAGGAGGGGGAGGACTTGAAGAGCATGACTAGGAGGTGACAGTTGGCGCAAGGCACGGCCACCATGTTGCCTCCAGAGAACAAAGCTGGGCCAGTGGGTTTCCTTGGCTCATCCTCGTCGGGGGCAGCGGCAGCAGCACCGTCGGCGGCACAGCTGTCGACGGCGGCAGTCGTGGAGATGTTGAGGTCCAGGTTCACGCTCTGCTCCCGGGGTCTGATCCAGCTCTTCTTCTGCGTCTTCCTGTTGAGGTAATACATCCTCCCAGACTGCATGCCCAAAGATAAAAATCACAACATAGCTAGCATCAAAAGGCATTACAGATCCACAATGATAAGGCAATCATGACAGCATCATTCATTATTCATCTTTTTGGACTATGATCTAGCTCGTGAACCGTTGAGCTTCTTTAGAAATACTCTACTCCTAGCAGTGGAAATGGCCACACAGGCGCACGCACGTTGCATGCGTTGCCACCAATGGCCATGTGGGTGCAGTTTCCTAACTATTACTAGTTGCCCTGCTATTTACTGCCAGCTTGATGTGGCGTCGGTCGGATTATATTTTCGCGTAGGCGCCACGTCGGTGGCAGGACACTTCTAGGAATAGCAGTTGTGCACTACCAATAGGCTTTCTGCATTGTACTAATAGCTTTTGCAAACTACACGTGTCGGCATGCTAGATACACAACATTATTGCACATGAACACACGATCGGCATGCATATGGGTGAGAGTGGGATGATTACTGTAGTTTTATTGACCGAGAGAGTATTGATTCTTGAACGGGAAGAAACAAAGAACATATTGTATCGATGCAACTGCAGAATTGAAAACATATATATCTGTCATTAGAGAGAGGTACTCACTTGGAGGTCGAGGCACTGCTCCCAGTCGAGAGGCAGGGGGTCGTTGAGCTGGAGCTCCAGGCTCGCGGGCGGCTGCTGAGGCTCCTCCCAGCTGGCGGTGTAGTGCTTCCTCTTCTTCCGGGAGCTTCCGTCAGACTCGGACGAGGAGCTCTTGGCTGCCAGGCCACCGGTGGCGAAGCCCGGCCACACTGGGCCGAGCGACAGCTCCGGCTGCAGCTCCATTCTCTTCTGCAAGCTCAGGCTCCGGGCGGCTTCCTGGTGGAACTTCTTCACCCTGAGGAACTCGGTGGTCATGGTCGTGCGTGGCTGGCCGGTGGCACCACCACCACACCACGGGTCTATTTATATGTGGTTCTACCCTTGGTGTAGGAATAGCGAGGAAGAGGAGAATTGAAAATTGGGTGATGAGCGAGCGTGAGAAGAGGTGCTGCTTGGTGGTCGTCCTCTTCTCCTAGAGGTAGAGAGGGATAGCACAGCACTGTGGTTTTGATTGATGGGGTCATGGTCATGCAGGGGAGGGAGGAGGCTTGAATGGCCTTCATCCAACGCGCATTAACGGAAGGGCAGGCCGGCATTGAAGATGGCAAGTAGCTAGAGTGACCTTAAATGTCGCAAATCTCTCCACCTCCACCCCCCATTTAATAAGGCCTCTCTCTACATGCCCGGACTGTACACGTCATAATGCCAGCCCAGCCCAAGCCCAGGAGAGCTACCACAAAATCTAGTACTGTCGCGCGTCCTCATGGCCTTGCTTGCCTTGTAAGCTGTAGGCTCCTGGTAGGATTTGAAGCGGGATCAGCAGCAGCAGAAGCAGGTGCAAGTGCAGCTGCCTGGGCAGGGCAGCGGCTGTAACTGATGGTGTTGGTGCAGCCGGTTCGCTCGGTCGTATTTGGCTTATAAACCATGGCTTATCAGTCAACGAACAATATTTTTCTCTCACACCAAACCAGCCAACAGGACTTTCAGTTATGGCTTATAAGCTAAACCAGCCCAAACGAACAGGGCGGTGGTTCGTCTGTTCAGAAGGTTGGCAGGAGCTGTAACTGAGCCGGTTCAGTGCAAAGGGGGTGGATCGGAGTAAGGAGGATACCAGTAGATCCTGCTTGCACATTGCATATATATCGACTCAGAAAATACGTATCATTACCTCTTGATCATGAACGGATTCACAAGTTCTGGAGGCTTTACTAGCCATCTGTAGTACATCATCACTTCTTGTATTGCCTGCGTACGTGGCACTAATGGTAAGCAGTGTCCTAGCTGTGTTTAGTTGTAGGAATTTTGATTTTGGGGCTACTGTAGCATGTTCGTTTTTATTTGGCAAATAGTGTTCAAACATGGACTAATTAGGCTCAAAACGTTCGTCTCGCAATTTTCTACCAAACTGTGCAATTAGTTTTTCTTTTCGTCTATATTTAATGCTCCATGCACGGGCCACAAACATTCGATGTGATAGATACTATAGCAAATTTTTGGAAATTGGGGTGGAACTAAACAAGGCTAAACAATGCAACGCAATCTCTGTGAGGCAGGAAACAACAGTGCACATAATTTAGTGCACGCAGGGTAGCTCCTGCCCAATAGAGGAACCAGTGGTGCACGTCGGCCGTTTGGAGGAGATTGGAGCTGCAATTGCAAAGGCCATCCATATCCTCCATCTCTCCAACAGTACCTATACTGCTGCTGCTGATCGTCGCTGCACAGGCCTGGAGGTAAGTAATGGCTATGCGTGTGAGCTTGTACAAGAGAGGAGTAGATGCAACTAGCAGCTCGGTGGTTCATCGAGGATGCCACCGGAGTGAAGGAAACCCACAAGGCAGCAGCACAGCAGAGAGAGGCAGAGCGCGCCCTCCGCCGTGTCATATTAAATCACCCCTTGTACCCTCTGACCATCATACTTGTATACCTACGCCCATTAACTCCGCCGTAATCATGAACTGCTTCTTGTGCTTGTGGGTCCGCATTCATGCCTTCTATTAAGTATACCACCTTCGTTCTAAAAAAAATGTAACTATAGCTTGTATGTCATAAAAAATGGTTCACGTTTCAGTGAATAATATTCACAATTATATCTTTAAATTAATTTATTATAAAAATATATTTCGTAATTAATCTGATGGTATTTATTTAACGTCATAAACATCGATATTTTTTATCTATAATTGGTCAACCTTAGGTACTGAAAATGTGACACTGTGCTATAATCACGTTCTTTTGGACGGAGGTAGTAGGAGCAGGAGTATTGATTTTATTTCTTCAACCCCGAGCCCCAAATCGATTTCTTTCTCATCCTGTATAAACTAGGGAAACAGCCCCATGGAGTAAATAGCTAGGACAAGACATTAGGAGGGAATAAATATTAGGCTTGTTTTGTTGGCCCTTGTACTCTTCATGTTCACCAGTCCCAACCACAGCAATAAATAACGGTGCCTATATCCATGGTTGTTGGGAGCGTGCACGAACCAACTCATGTTTACCTATTGATTTCGCCCCCTCTCTTGATTTGATTTGACTTTGTCTATTCTCTTCTACAAGTAAGGTTGTCGTTGCAAGTTTCATAAGAGTTTCAATTTCATTGAATAACATGACATGTAGACAAAATTGGTGACATGTAAAAAATATTAAATCTTCACATAAGTTTATTACGAAAATAAATTCAACGAATCTATCTAACGATGCTAATTATCTACTATAAATATTATTTTTTCTTGTATATATTTGGTTAAAATTAAATAGTTTGACTCCTCGTGAAACAAGAATGACACTTATTTTGGGATGAAAGGAGGACTTAAGTTTGATCAGGATAAAACTTGTGTATACAACTACCGATGCTATGAAACTTCACTGAGAGCAATTTGTTTCATCTCTAAACCTTTTTTTGTTGACACCATGAAACTATTAGATACTTTTAGCTAGCCTATGAAACTATCAAGTAGAATTGTGCTCTAAGAGAGGTCGTTTCATTCAGCAACTTAAACCTCTAAATATGATGTTGTATTCTTGAAACTGTGTAATGAAACTCTCCTTGAGACAAGCTAGCCTAAGACAGATTGATGATAAGTTAGCGTGTCTCTGTGTGTGACTAAACTACTTTTGATGATTAGCATGTGCAAGGACCGGCTATCTAACATCGGGGCTTTGATGTCATACTTGTGGTGAACTTATGGTTTCGCAATTAATCTGACATGATTAGAATTGAGAATAAATGCCCAGCACGTGCATATCGTCATCTGTCCGTCCTTGCTCATCTTCTTTTTATAGTTAACTGTACGTACTTATTATAGACACTATAAAACAAATTACCAACTTTCATTCTGGTTCTGACCTCCCTTTGAGGATTGCAGGTTGTTTGGCGTGTGTGAAGGGATTGATTACTTCTAATACCCAGATCCTGTACCTGCTTGCATAAACAAGTACTCTGGGAGCATGCTGACGTGGCAACTAGTTGGGTGCAGATGCGTTTGACTCTTTTTATTGTGCCTTCTAATGGGATCTGTTAAATGGAGTGTGTAATTAGTTTTGATCAAGTATCCAAGGACTAGCTAACTAAACTCGGCGCTTTCATGGCATCCTTGTGGTGCCTTATCAAAACCAATTAAATATGATTGTTGTGATAATAAATCGATGTGTAGCACATGAGTGTATTGCCCTCCGTGGGTTCCTCGTTCATTTTCTTGGTTTTAACTGGCATGAGTTATTTTATTGTTAATTCTTACTTCTAGACACTGTAAAACACTTCTCGTTGCCTGGGAGCTATGGAAAGAGCGGAATGCATGAAGCTGATCTCTGGGTACAGGCCGGCGCAAGGAGTCTAGGTTGTTTAATAGCCGGAGTAATAAATAGACGTTTTCAGCTTGGGCGGGCTTAAGCTTAGTTGCAAACCATGTAAAGCCCGGGCACCAATTGAGCATCTCGTAATTAAACTATTTCTATCTTAATATAAAGACGGGCAAACCTTTTGCGTGATCGAGAAAAGTTAAATTGTATACCTTTTGCAAACCATGTAAACCTTTTGCAAACTATTTCTAGACCCCTAGCTGTATCTACTTAAATATTACTTCCTCTAATTTAAATTGTATAAGACGTTCTGGTTTTTCTGCATATATATATAACTTTTACTATATACTTAATAAAAATAATATATATTTAGAAAAGTTCGTATAATTTAGAATGGAGGGAGCAAACATTTCTACTTTGGAGATAATGCGCTTACGACAATTAGGTCAGTGTACATGTTTATGATTCTTTCCAGCCTGTTTGCTTGCTCGTATACGATCGTGGATTATAAGCTGGAACAGTATTTTTCTCTCACACCAAACCAGTCAGCAGTAAATAATCCACGGTCGTTTACGATGAAACAAACATGCTGGAACTTATGTCGGTGTACATATTTATGATTCCTTCATCACCTCTTTTATGGATAAGATCTAGATAATTGCATTATAAAATAATACTCGATCAGCTGTGATAAGGCACTGCTATTAGAGTACAATAACTCAAACTTTGCTGGTTGAGAAAATCCTCAATCTTTGTTTTGCTGGTGTGGTGATTTTGTTTAACATTATGCAATTCCTGTGCATGCGAGTTGGGGAGTAACTCCCAACCTGTTGGTTTGCAGGACGGTCCACGGCTATCCAACCCCCGAGCTACTCGCTCGTTTGTAGATAATGCTTTATATAACACTATCTTTTACGATACGCCACAATTGTTGCATATAGACATCAAAATATGGACTTTCTAAATACCATAGTAACTATGAAATTCATATGTGACGTAATAAACAGGATGATGATAGGCGACAAAATTGAAATCATTCACATGCAATGCGTATCCTGAAGTATGGGCTCATAAACTCCATCCGACCATTTTAATGGAAGCAGAACCTATTCGTAGCATATTTAACATGGATTCACTGATATATAGCCCTCTGCTGGATACACGTCCATATTTTGTCGGTTTTATTTTAGAGTGATTTTAGACAGTAACGTAGAATCTGAATCCTAGATAAAAAATGATCGACGTTTGGATCCTGGATCATGCATAGTAAAATATCTGAATAACAGAGTTTGAATAGATAGTTAGATTGTAGAATTTCATTCTACAATACTTGGATCTCATTCTCAATTCTCTCTTTTTTTCTTATTCTTTTTTTTCCTCTTTGGAGATGCAAACAGAGCCTAGATGAAACCATAATAACTTGTGTTCGTCTGGTCAATGTCGTACCTATAAATTAATTCTGTCCGGGCGGTTGGCTTGATGTGCCATCAGTTATTAGCATCTTAGTCATGCCTGTG